ATATATATATATATTCTACAATATATATGTATATATATAAAGAGTAGTGTATGTGTGTCCAAGCAATTCCTCCACTTCCACTGGTCCAATTTCAATGATTCATAGCTCATTCAAAAAGCCCTAGTAAAGTTAGGTGCAAGGAATCATTTTCCTTGAGCTCAGATTCAGGGTTGCCAGATTATACAAGGTTAAAAATATATATTAATATATTAGCCATTATCATTGCTTTCATTTTTCAAGGAGAGTAACTCTTATTTTCCTTTTGTATCCAAAATTGGAGCTAGCTTAAAAGCTGCCCCTATCAGGAAGCATTTAAGCTAGCTCCTGTGGAGGATACTTGTTTTGGCCATCATCATAATAGCTAGCACGGAGTAGATGCGATAGGCATCAATAAACTAGAGAAGAACTCAAAATTGATTGCTGCGTTTAAATATTGAATTAATGTTTACTTTTTAAAAGTTCAACGATAATTCTTCTGCTGCCACTTAATTTAAAGACAATTTGATGTGCGTAGATATTTATTTTCTGTACAATTATTTTTATTTCATAGCTGACAGAGGAAGAGACAATTTAAAAGATAAAATAAATATGTTGTAAAGATGGGGAAAATAGAATTAGTTATACATTCAACATTTGAAGAGTTAGAGAAACATAATAGCTAATTAAGTAAACCTATATTATGGAATCTATATGAATAAATGCAAAATTGGAGCTCAATTCTCCCATGAATTTTGAGGGGAGCATGAGCATGTACACCTGGGCTAGGAACAAAAATTACGCAGGCCCCTGTAACCGTTGGTTGCACTGGCCTCGGTGTGAACACCGACCCCTCTCACTGGTGTAATGAGAGGGTGCGGCCTCAAACTGCCATTACCCAGGGCTGGGCACCTCAGTATAATTTTCCTCAGTTGCGACTGTCCTTTGACAGAGTCACTCCCGAGTGCACTCTGCCTAAAGAACTGAAAAGATGATAAATAATGTTACAAACCACTCAAGACAGCGGAGATTTACTTGACCCTACCACTGAGTCAGGTTGTGACAAGATCAGTTTTTAACATGGAGACTTGAATGTCTACACTCTGGCTGTTGGTTTTAGCTTGTTCAAGCTGGTCAGAGCCAGTCACAGCCGTGATACTACCAGCATCAACTTCCAGGCAATATTACTTGTCAAGTTTAACTAATTTGCATATTGATTTTAAAGAAGTTTATTTCATTAATTAACTGTCTTTTGTTACTGTTCTTTTATTTGAGGATTGTTTTGATTTTCATATCAAGAATTGTTGTTTAGGAATATCATGTTATTTAGTGTAGAAAAGTGTTTGAAATTTGCATTTTACTTGGCCTTCAACAAGTTGGCCTCTGTAAAACTTTAACAAGCCAATTTATGAATGAAATGTTCATTTAAAATCTTTTTTTGAACGATTTCAAGTAATGAATTTATCTTACTTTGCAAAGTGATAGTGAGGGGGGGGAAGTTTGCTAGTGTATATATAATTATTATTCTGGATTTTGTTTTGTTATAATGGGAATAGATATTTATATGTTGATTTTCAGCAGACAAAGTTTTAAGCAGCTGTCAAGGTGGTGTAACATGATAGCTATGAAAGGTAAAATATTGTTTTCTTCCATTTCATATGTAAATTCTATGGTATGTTTGACTTTGTTTAGTTTATTTACAAGATCCAGTAAGTCAGTATAATGGGGATATATTAATAGAGCATCATCAATTTATCGGAAGTTGATTGTTTAGATAAAATATTTTTGAAAGGACCAGATTCGAGAAATTCTAAGAAGATATGTCATCACTCCACTAAACAAAATGTCTTAAGCCTTTTTGAGTTTTCAGATTGTCAAATATTCGAATTTAGGTGGAAACAGGTAAAGGAACTTGTGTCATGTCCCAATTACTCCTGACCATCATTGGTCACTTTTCAAGGAAAGATGGTGGAAAGATGGTAGAAAGCTGTGTGAGCCAGTGTAGAATGTTGATCTATATTTAAACTTTATTAATAGATTCTTGTAATGAGGCTTGCAGAATCTATCCATAGTAATTTTTTGTTATTGATCAAAATCTAATGGCAATTAAAAGTAAGGAGCACTGTGGATTTGTTAGTTTACACATGATCCAGTGCCTAGAGATACAAGTCAATCTTGAGAGAAACTGTGACCAATATATGTTGATGCCCCATAACAGTCTCCCAAAGAACAAGTATTTTTTTTTTTTTTTGTAAAGAAGTGCTGTTAGAAACAAGGTTGAGTATTTTTAAGTATATGATTTATTTTGTCTGCCACCCCAAACCATATGTAATTGGGATGCCTCTGAGTATCCCAGAATAAATAGTATTTTTGTTATGGTGGGTGGGGTAGTATAAAAAAAAAAAAAAAAAAAAAAAAAAATATATATATATATATATATATATATATATATATATATATATATGTTATTGCCATTACATGTCCATAATTTTATTTCTTCATTGATGTGATTAGGAAAGTTATT